TATGGAAGGAGCGGTAATTTTTGAAAAAAGTCTGGCTCCATTACGACACACCTTATTTCACAATAATTGTTTTTTTATATGATCATAAACCTGTTTATTCATCCAAATGTAACCCAGGGAAACAGAAATTCATAATTTGCGAGGGGGGGAGGGGCTAAATATTTAAATGAACATATTAAAATGTTTATAACGATTAATAAGCTAACATAAACAACAACAAAATTCTAACATTAAAAAAAAGGACAAAATGCAAATAACTAATGGTGTTTAACTATTCTCTGTGAGTCTATGATGACTGTGTGTCCCTGATTCTGATGACTCCATTCAATGAACTGCCTCCTAATGTTTTCCCATGATGATTTGTATGATTATTTATATTCTTCTTCCGCTTTTCTTCTTCAGATTCACTGGCAGATTCCATGCTGCTACGAGAATCTTTCTTCATCTGCAAAAAGAACAACAAATTTAAGTAAATGCTGATTCTTCTTTTTTACATCTGTGTCTGCCCTTCTGTGTCTGTTTACATTTATGCTGAGATATCTGACTTTTGGCCAAACACATCCGTTGTTGGCAAACTATTAATTTGTTGACTTGAACAATATACAGGACGATAACCATTCATGATGTGCTTTTTTAAAAAAGACAACCAGCCAACTTGCTGTTATCTTCTAGAAGCTTTCCATGCATATTCTGTAGAGTGATGATATGATAGCTAGTAAACTAAGTAGTAACATTATCAAGAACTAAGCAATGTTCACAGATAACTGTAGAGACAATCCTCTTTGGCAGTGTGGCATTCTGCATGCTTATGTACAAGCTCTTCATTAGTTCCTTAATTAGTTATCTAACTCTTTCAGCTGTTTGAAACCAAAGTACTGGACTTTATCATGGCCAGGAGCCATGCTCCTTGCTATTTTACAAACATGTAGAATGTCTTCTGCACAGATATGATCCCTCTTGTATCAACAGGGCATTTCTATCACCTCTGTTTTTTGACATAGGGCTGGAATAGGAATCCTCCTCCTCCTCTTCCTCCACTTGCATCCGCAAAGTGTTCAGAGAAAGGGGGGGTTGAGAGAATTGTCCGTTTGCTTTTTCTAATGTGCTGTAAAATTTGCCTTTCTGTGGCTTAGAGGTTAGTGACAATGCTTTGCAAAGGAATCATTGCTGTCTGCCAGATTTAAATTTCTGTTTGGGTGGTTTAGAAAAAGTTTGTTCTTGTGGCTTTCAAATATTGACTGGGCCCTGCCACACTATATTCCCATAGTCAGCAGTGTGTGTGTGTGTGTGAATTAGCAGCTTTTTAAATTTCTTTAAGGTTGTTTTTTGACACTTTTGCAGTCTTTCCCTTGCTGTGTGATAATTATAAACCTTTAATATGGCTCTTTGTAAACGGAGAGACAGCACAGCCTGCCTAAATTCTGCCTTCTATGACTGCTTGGAAATGCGATGGTTGACTTTTCACGTTTCACTCCCCAAAAGCAATAGTAAAGTCCTAACATGCAGTTTGTGGCAACTGCACTAGACATGCGGCCCTAAATCTTCAGGCACAAGACATCACTGACCTACACCTCCCCCCCCCTCACCCCCCCTAGAAGCAATAATACAGGCAGTGATGTCTGTCCCTCAGAAGTAAAAAGTAAAAAAAAAAGTAAAGGACCCTGTTCCATGCCTTTAGGCGTATAGGGCATATAGGGCTAGACCTATATTTTACAGACCAACGGCACAAGATGGGTAATGTGGTCAGCATCATGCCGGCCGCCTCTATTCCCCGGGACTGCACCCAGTACCCACTCAAGGCTGGGTCGACCTGGGAGCCAAGGTCATTTTTGAAGAAAAGTCCGGCTCCACCAGCAAGCGAACCCCTGTCCCCCAGAAGCTGAACAGAAATCATAGGTCTCAAGTAGAACTCTGTGCCTGTTACATATATCTCAACAGTTGGAAACCATCAAGAGTCGGCTCTAAGTCATCATTCTTTTTTGCGTTCACCGGCCTCAAACTCCGGCAGAAAGTTCTGGCGTATGTTCTTTTCTAGATTTTGATCTTGTTCCAGAACCTAACTTTTGTTGCACATCTGTTTTACTGAGCTGGCTTATCTGTGTGCAGACTGTTTGTTTACCACCTCTCAGCAGATGCACTCTGACTTTAAAAAAAACAAACCTAATTAGATGCCTTTTAAGACATGCTTGTTGGGAAGCAGTTGGTCTATTCTTGTTTCCCCTAAAACAGGGCCCCAGAACCAACATGGAGAAGGCTGAAAGTGAGAACTGTCCTCATAAACATCCGCAACTATACCCATAATGGAGAATTTATAGCATGTAAATCTCTTATAGGGATATAGACAGTAAGGGACAACTACCAAAATCCTTTCATTTAAAAAAAAAATAATTGGTGGCTGAAAGGGCAAAGAAAAGGAGATGGAAGAAAAAGATGTTGACAACAGGAGGGACGGAGAAGACAGAGAAAGATAAATGGCACAAATGACTGACCTGTCCTCTAAAAGCATCTAATGGAAAATGTATAGCATGTAAATCTTATAGGGATATAGACAGTAAGGAACAACTACCAAAATCCTTTCATTTAAAAAAAAAATAGGTGGCTGAAAGGGCAAAGAAAAGGAGATGGTAGAAAAAGATGTTGACAACAGGAGGGACGGAGAAGACTGAGAAAGATGAATGGTACAAGTGACTGACCTGTCCTCTGAAAGCATCTAAGGCAACGATGCAAATATAGTAAAACCAGATTATGTGCAAGACCTGCAGTGTACACAGGAGAATGTTGTACACTGTGTACATTGTCATCCAGCCGATTTGCATATCTTCCAATCCAGGTAAAGCTTCAAACATTGTCGAGCGAATAATTCTGTGAGAATGAGCAAATTGTGATAACCACTCATTTTCATAGTCAATAATTAAAATGCATAACAACCATAGCAAAATCATAACAGTTGCCCACAAAAGAGAATGCATAAAAAATTTTTTTTTAATCTTTTATGTGGGTGTGGAAACCAAGGGTAAAATAGCAAACTAACTAACAAACCAGAAATGAGAGGACAGTATAAGGCAAGCAAACAGGAAGTTCTTCTTCTTCACGTTCACCAGCTGTAAACTCTAAAGTTCTGGTTGTTTATCTCCTTCTGGACTTTGGTCTTGTCCTAGAATTTGAGTTTTACATGCACATCTGTTTAAACAGATGTGATTTATTTGTATGCAGACTGCTGGTTCCTTGCTGCTCCTACAAATATACTCCGACTTTGACGGAAATGCCGCTGATTAGTATACTTTTATGACATGCTTGTTGGGGGGGGGGGGGGAGGTGGGATTCAATCCCCCACCACCACACTGGGGCCCTGGAACCCACATGAGGGAAACAAGAAGTTGGTAGTGAAACAAGATAGGACATACCATCAAATAACTGATAAATATACAACTAAGGCAAAATACTTTATTTTTCCAAGTCTGGGATTTAATGTGGCTAACCTTCCTTATGAAGATGGTAGCTTACTAATTTGTTCATTTTATTAATACATTCTGAGCAATATGGTTTCTACTGTTGCAATGGGATTACCAATAATGACATATCTGTGGTCCGGGATAAGACCCATCAAGTTGTATATGTCACATGGGGAAGTTCTAATATCTTCTGTCTAACTATACAGATATGTGCAAGGCAGGCAGTAAAGCAGTAACTGCAATAGGACTCAGATGGGTATTACTCTGTGTGAGAAACTGTAGCCTGTGGAAGTAAATGGATGGTAACAGATCAGTGAAAATTGTATGGAAGCTGTAGAGATGTGGTTTTTATAGAAGGATGATAAGAACACCACAGAGAGATGTTTGTTTAACTCCTCTGCCCCCAAAAGCTAGAGAACTGACACCTCCGACTGGTACTATTTCTCCATTTAAGTTGCTATCTCAACTAGCTACAGAGACATGTTTATGAGACATATACCTATCAGAATTCAATGCATCGGTGTCCGTGCAAAAATTCAGCCTGACAGCAGATGGCTAAATTTACTGAGAACAGCATTAAGTGGGGTTTCCTTTAAAAGAAAATGGCTTTATTTATAGACATTTCTAGGTCATATTTTTCCCATTGGGTAAAGTGGTAACCAGGCGACAAGTAGGAGAATTCTAGTCTATTATCTGACAAGGGATAATACAAGCTATGAGAAGGCAGCCTCAAGCAGCACAGTCTGGCTTTTCTTTAAGTGGGTCTTTTTTACCTGCTTGTTAAGTCAACCTCTTTCATCAAATTCAAGATGATTCTAAATGTTTTAATCAGAAGCTTTTCTCTTTAGGTCTGCAGTGTCTATCCACACCATTTTTATGTTTCAGTTTTGACCCACTCTTTAAGTGCTGATTGCAATACATTCCTGATGTGAGACAATAGTGTAAAAATGGTCCTTTACTTGTTTAATTTTGTTTTCCTTATTTATACCATGCTTGGTACTTCTGTTATGGACTTCTCGAGTAAACAGGCAAAATGCAAACTACGGGATACCTAATTTGCTCTCTGAATCTAGTGAAGAAGAGACATAATCAGAAAAGATATCAGGAAACAAGGTGAGCTGAACCATTGCTAAACAACATCAAAAGACAACAGATCAAATGGTTTAGGTGTGTGTCAAGACTAACACTAGATGAAGAATCCCAGAGAGTTCTGTCACTATGAATACCAGCGTCTATGTTGCACACACCAAGACTAACACTAGATGAAGAATCCCAGAGAGTTCTGTCACTATGAATACCAGCGTCTATGTAGCACACACCAAGACTAACACTAGATGAAGAATCCCAGAGAGTTCTGTCACTATGAATACCAGCGTCTATGTTGCACACACCAAGACCTGCACCAATTGCCTCTTCAAAACCTATCAATAAAAGGCAGAACAAGAAAAGTTAGTATCTAAAACAACGAAAACAATAAAATGTTAAAATGAGCAACTTCTTTATAAGTACGCAAGCTGACACAATGTATAGACAAATACTGAGACTTACTTAAAGGGGAAAATTATTAATCTGGTTACAACCCACATCACCATAAAAATGAAAAATAGCTTTTCGCAGATCTTGTGGCAGCCAATGTATTTGGCAACTTTGGCAGTCTGTAGAGCAAAACAACAACTGTCACGTTACGACATCCTCTATTCCAAATATTACTTTAACTAATTTCATGTCATGGTGTTATTCAACTCCTTTCGACCCAAACATTTTTTTCAGTTGTGGTTCCTTTACAGGATGTTGCAAAACCAACCCTGACTTTTTTGGGGCTTCCTGACAGACGGATCTCGATACCTCTGTTGAAACAAACGCGGTCTCCCAAACACTTAATAGTTTTAAAAAAACATCTTCTTGAGGATTTTTTCAAAATTGCACTCTGCTCCCAGGTCGACCCAGCCTATTCAGTCCAGTCTAGATCACAAGCAGAACTGTGCCTCTATGGTGACCGCAGTCCCCACACAGCTTGTCTTGTAGTGTAGCTCTTCTGGATCAGATCCCAACTTTTGCCATGGGTAGCTAGGGCAATCCTGCAGAACAGACTCAGGAGTCTGCCTGCTCCATTATTAGTAACATATTTTCCGGTATTAAGACAATACGTATTCCACAGTTTATCAAGGTTAAAATTGGGGTTGTTTTATAAATGGAATATGTTTCAAATGTATGTTTCTTAATTTGGGGGGAAAAACATAGGTGTGGTCTTAAACAAGGACAAATATGGTAAGTAGTCTTCTTGTTCATCGGCTATAAACTCCTGCAGAATGTTCTGGCTGTTCATCCACTCCTGGACTTTTGTCTTGTCCCAGAACTTGAGTTATGTGTACACATCCGTTTTACAGACCAGGCTTATTCTATGCAGACTGTTGGTTCCTTGACTCTCAGGCACTGGGTATATGGTGCTAGACCCAAATTTTATAAACAAATCTGACAAAGGATATAGTCAACATCATGCCAGCGACCTCTATTCCCAGGAAATTTCCTTGTACTCACTGTAGCAGTTCAAGTGTCTAGCTGTTGTCACAGTGTCATAAAACAATGTGCCAAACAATGTGCCATATACACAAATGTATATCCATGTCTTCTTCTGCCTTTCTATCCCCCAAAGGAGCATAGGCCCTCAACCAACTTATGCCAAGTCGTTCTATCCTTCGCCATTGCATGGAGCTCTCCCCATGTCCTCCACAACTTTCTAACTTCATTCTCCAGCTCTCTTCTCCATGTGTTTTTTGGCCTTCCTTTATTCCTATGCCCCTGTGGGTTCCAATGCAAAGACATTTTAGTTATGCTGTTCTCCTATTTTCTCAGTGTGTGTCCTATCCAACGCCAGCGTCTTTTCCTCACCTCCTGGTCCACTGAAGCCTGTTTCGTTCTCTCCCAAAGCTCTACATTAGTTATTCTATCATACCAATTCCTTCTATTCTGCGCAGGCACCAGTTAATGAATGTTTGTAGTTTGTATATCCATGTATATCCAAAATATCTATGGTGTTTTGTGATTTCTTTTACATGGCATGAGAAAGGTACAGATATCTGGATAGATAACACACAGCATTTTATAGTTTCTTGTTATTCTTCTTTACTTCCTCTTTTACTACTTCGGGTGTCCAGGGAGATATCAGGTCCTGCTTCTTGCTCTTCTGGCAGCCTCAATAGAAGACACATCACATCGTTGTAGAGCTTCTCTTCTCTGATGTTATCTTTCTTTCTTGTTCCAGATCTACAATGCTCTACGTCACTCTTCTTTTCTCTTTTGGTGTATGCCTTGCATGGTCAACGTCTGTGGCTTAGGTGTTGTGAACACGCTTCATAATGCCAGGGTGCTGGCTTTGATCCCGGCCGCAGCCGACTTGGCAGCAGAACATCTTGCGTTGGTTTCGACAGCGATACCGAGAGCTAACCAAGAACATAACATTTGATAGAAAAACCAAAAAGGCCACACACAAAATGCTAGGGTTTGTTCTACAACAACCTATAAAAGATATGCAACTAACTTTTCTTGTATTAAGTCACAGGAGATTCTCTCTAAGCGGGCAAGCCATTTCTTCTTTCTTTCTCTAGTGTTTTTTTTTTTTTGCTGTCCTTGTATATAAGTTAGAATGACATCATTTCTGATCTATCTCTTTTGGTCACTCCTGCAGCCTTTATATTATATTTTGTATCTGTGAAAGTAATATACCTTGCTTTTGTCCGCTGCTTTGTCATCAACCACTGGAATTTGTTGACAAATCTTCTTGGAATATAAGAGTTAACATCTTGCGTCCAACACGGTCTGGAAAAGCTCCCAACTCGTCTCCCAAATATGTTCTTTCATTATTACCTTGCCCATTCTTCTCCTTCTTCTGCCATAAAAGGGCATTTGGTACACTGTGTTGTGGTTTACAGCTAGGCTGTGATATCTGCGCCTTTCAAGCTAACATGTCCGATTTATGCAAACAATTCAATAGTGCCTCCTGAGACATGCTTGTTGAGGGACATTCCTCAAAAAACAACTGCTGAACCCAAACAGGGGTTCTCTGAATGTAAGCTGAAGACTATGATGATTAATGTAATATATGCACTGCAGAATAGTGTTCCTGATAGTACTGTGTGGTGTACTTACTCCACAGCTCCAGTGATGACCCACTGCCCCCTTTTATTCCCCCAGGAAATTCATGAAAAAACTGCACTCAAAAATCAAATAATACAGTCAAACTACAATTTCATGATCTTTAGAGCATTATTCCTCAAACTGTTTACACCGCAACCAACCAAAACATGGAAACATTGTTCCACAGCCCACCTGACAGCTAAACAAACACAAAGATAAGCAAAAATGGGGACAGCAGTCTATTTTTAAAAACAATGTCACAAAATTACAATTGTCAGCTCTTGCGAAATCTATTGATGCTCATCCTCCTTGAGTTGTTAATTATGCAGACTGCAATCCCGGAAAAGAAAAACTATCTACCCTAACCCATTTCATGATAAGGCAGACATTTCACGGGTTGAAGAACACTGCTTTAGAGCATAAGATACATGAATTTTTTAGTTGTTTAAATTTATTTATTTTTTTTTTTACTAAATTTAAAAAAAGAAGAAATAAAGAACCCTTTTCCGTGCTTTCATGTGTTTTGTGTTTTGGGCATAAATGGCTAGACCTAAATTTTATAGACCATTCAGCACTCAATGAGTGATGTGGTCAACATCAAGACGGCTGCCTTTACCTCCCAGGATTTTACCTGCTACCCTATTAGGGGTGGGGTGACCTGGGAGCCGAGGTAATTTTTGAAGGGAAAAAAGCCACCCACGGCCTTCAGATCCACAGGCAAGTATCTAGCCACTACATCACAGTGGCTCCCATCAGGTACATTGCGCAAACATTTCACCGTCAAAGAAAAAAAAAATGCATACCTCTAGCCAGGAATCTACAGCATCATGCACCAAGAGCACTAGGGTTCCAATTCGGACAAAGTTGTTTACCCAGGACATTCCCATCAGCAGCAACGTGGCCAGGTGATGGATTATCATCTCTACGAAATCCTTCAATATGGAAAACAATTAAGTTATGACATTATGTGTCTCAATAATAATGCAGACTGTTGTATTTAGCATCTTTATATGAATACTACCAACAATAAGCATGAAAGATCCTAGGTAACAGCAAGAGGTGACCCTAGAAAAACATGGAATGATGACATTAAAAAGCTTCTACACTGACACGTATTGACAATAGCAAATGCTACAAATGAATCAACGGATTGCAAGCTGTTCCTCTCAATGGCACTCAACAGTGGAAACTGATGATGAAAAGAATAAATCAAACTAACATTAATTATCACAGGAAAAAGTCAATATAGGATGAATTTGGAGGCTGTAATAAAACAATTAAACATTTGTCGTCTGCACGGCAAAGGCTGGCTGCTATGGATTTCTAATATGCTCTGTCTTTTGCCCTGGATGCACTGCTGTTCATCCATTTCTTAAGGTTATCCTCCCACTTCTGTCGCTGCTTGCCTCCTGATTTCTTGCCTTCGATTTTTTTCCTCTAGTATGGTTTTTAACAGAGTTTTAACTTTTAATGAGGTAAAAATACCTCTCTTTTCAACCCCAAGCTCTGCTAAATCTGTGTAAATGAATATATGTGTTTTCATGAAATACAACCTATTCATCTGTACATCCATATCTGCAGACTCAATGTAACTTTCTAACTCCTCACTATTCAGGTTTCTGCAGCGTACAGTAGTGTTGAGCATTTATAACACTAGACAATTCTTACTGTTTATCTCTCTGGACGTAAATAATCAGTGTGTATCTTGTTGAAGATATTTCTGGCGATTCCTGTTCTCTTGATAATTTCTCTTTCACTTCCACCACAATTTGTTATTATATGTCCAAAATAGGAGAAACTTGTTACAACAAAACTAAATCAATAAGTGTTCAAGCGGCAAATGATAATCAGAGGGTGGACAGCATGAAGAATCTTTGGCACAATATCTGAAAGCTGGTTAAATTAAAAATTGCTAGATCTGGCATCTTTCCTGTGGTGATGAAACGGATAATCGAAATAACAGAAGACAAAGAGGTTACTTACTTACTTACTTACTTAGTCGCTCCTCTTCTACCTTGGGGTGTAGAGGTTTGCCAGAGAGATCGCCAGACGTCTCTATCAGCAGTTTTCTTTCTGGCTTTGTTCCATTCCAGTCCTCTGTCAGTCAGGGACTGTCGGATGTTGTCTTCCCAGCGCACCCTGGGTCGTCCCGGAGGTCTGGTTCCCTGGTTCTTAGCCTCCCATGCTTGCCATGGTGGCCGATTTTCTCCCATTCTGCACACATGTCCAAACCATCGTAACTGTGACTGATCCACTCGGGTTAGTAAGGGCTGGGTATCAAGATCTTGACGTATTGTCTGATTGCGGACTTTGTCCCTTCTTGTCACTTGGACCACCTTTCTCAGGTATCTCATTTCCGAGGCCTGCAGCTGGCTTCTGTGAGCTGTTGTCATTGCCCATGACTCACACCCATAGGTCAGGACTGGTACATAGGTAGAGCGGTAAACAGCCATTTTCGTCCTCTTGCCAATTTCTCTTTTGCTAAGAAACCCTCGGTTTATGGCCTGGAAGAGTCTCCCAGCAGCTGCTTTTCGTGTAGCCAGCTCAGTCTTAATGCCTCCATTTTGGTCTAATACAACTCCAAGGTATTTGAACTGGTTAACCTGCTCCAACGCATACTGACCCATCATGATCTGGTGTTTCTTCTCCTCTCTTGAGATCACCATGGTTTTTAGTTTTGGAGACACTGATGGTCATCCCTTTCTTTTCAAGCTCTTCCTTCCAGACAAGTAAGTTGTACTGAAGGTGTGCCTCTGGTTTAGCTATCAGGGCCACATCGTCTGCAAAAGCCAGCTCTGATATACAGATTGGTCTCATCTTCCAGTACCCTACAGAGTACTTCTTTGTCTTCTCCTTACAGGTCTTGATGACATCATCCATCATAAGAATGAAGAGGTAAGGTGAGAGAATATCACCTTGTCTAACACCGCTGGTGGTCTTAAATTCTTCTGACTTTTGGTCTGCTGTTCTTACATAATTTCTGCACTTTTTGTAGAAACTCTGTATTGCACTGATCAGGGGTGCTGGGATGTTTTTCCCTGCCAAGCAGTCCCAGAGCTTGTTCCAGGGTACCTTGTCAAATGCCTTTTCCAGATCCAAAAAACATAAGTGAATCTCACTCTTATATTCCAGGGCTTTTTCACTCATCTGTCTCAGTGTGAAGATAAGGTCTTGAGTACTTCGGTTTGCTCTGAAGCCGCACTGGGCCTCGTCCAGCTGTGGCTCTACCAGACTTCTAAGTCTCTGCTCAAGAATTCTAGAGTAACTTTTACCGGGGATGCTGAGGAGGGATATGCCTCTGTGGTTTTCACATTGTCTGTTATCACCTTTTTTAAATATAGTATAATTATGGCAATCTCCCAATCTTTTGGTATAGTTTTGCTACACCAGGCTGCCTGGAGAACCTTCAGTAGAAGGCGCTCACCTTCGACTCCCATATATTTGACCATCTCTGGTGTTATACCATCATGACCTGCTGCTTTTCCCAGCTTAATCTTCTCAATAGCTGCCTTCAATTCTTCCATCCTGATGTTATCTTCCACATGATTGAATTCCTTCTCAGCAGTGAGGTCCATTATTTCTGGGTCATGACTTCCCTCAGCGCCGAGGAGCTCTGAGAAGTATTCTTTCCATCTGCCCATGATATCATTTGTAGAAGTAAGCAGAGCCCCTTCCTTGTCTTTTATGAATTTAAGTGGGCACTCTTTCTCCTTCCTCATGTTCTTAAGGGTCTTGTAGAACAGTTTTTGGTTTTCTCTTGCATTCTTTTCCAACTTTTCTCCAAACTCTTCCCATGATTTCTGTTTTGCTTTAAGCACAATATTTTTGGTCTCTGTTCTGAGTGCCACATATTGTTTATATTTTTCTATTTCTTCAGCTGTGTTCCTGGCTGCCAGGTATTGCTTCCATGCCCTTTTCTTTTCTCCTATTTTCAATTTGACTTCTTCTGTCCACCAAGGTGTCCTGTGTCCCCGCCTTCCACTTGGGACTTCACCACATGCTTCTACTGCAGCTGCTGTGAGGATATTCTTGAATCTGCACCAGAGGGTTTCAGTGTCCTCTGATGGTTCTTCTTCAGTTCCTATTGCTTTCACTATAAGCTCCTGGTATCTAGCCTTAATATCTGGCTCTCTTAGCTTGTATGCTTTAATCCTCATCCCTTCTTGGTTGCTTTGTTTCTTGCATAGTTGTCGGTGTTGCCTTGTTGGAGCAGTTCTTTCAGTTGTTCTCTTTATTGTGACCAGATAGTGGTCACTTCCAATCTCTGGTCCTCTCATGACTCTGGCATCTATCACAAACTTGAATGAACTTTTCCTAACTATGGCGTAGTCAATGATGGATTTTTCATTCTTTGAAGGTTCACATCTTGTGTATGCATGTATACGCTTGTGGGGGAATTTCGTGTTTGTGACAAAGAGGTTACAACAAAACTAAAGACAGCCACAGGTAAGTTGATTTAAAGTTAGTGGATTATCAAAGTGAATGTGTTCCTTCTGTGAGCTGGTGAAATCTGAGGCAAAAAGTTCCCAGTGAAAAAAAAAATAATGAACAGAGAAGAGTATGCTATTTAAATATCTAACGAGGTTAAGGTTTAGACAACGGATCAACATCATGGCTCAATGGCAGTAACCCATAAGTGCTCCATTCTACTTTTGACACAAGCCTGAGTCCGAAAAACCTCAGCAGCGCATGAATTCCGTAGCACCGACGAGGATCCTGAAATATTTTGGGACAATTTTTAGCTCCACATTTTTGCCCAGGCAGCGCCATTAGGCTACTTTTTTTTTTCTATAACTTCGATTTCCAGGCTTGAACCCGAACCTCCAGATGCCATGCCTCAAGACCATGGAGCCCTCCTCCCCACCCACTATATATATATCTAATGAAACAAAAATTATTTTAAACACTCACCTTTTGTTGGTGGTCAGAGAAGAGTGGTCTAATGTATATTTAATAAAACAAACAAAAATGACTGGAAAGACTCACCTTTCGTTTGTGGTCAGAGAAGAGTGAAAAGAGCAAGCTAATGTAAAAGGCACCCTCCAGCATGTAGTACCAGTAAATATCATCTGACACATGCTGCAAAAAATGTAATAAAAATGTTCATAATTAATCCATTTGTTCCCAGTGTGGGTTTTCCATTCTGGGGACAAAAACAAATAAGAAGAAGAAGAACAGACCCACTGCTTCCTAACAAACATCTCGTAAACATCGACTGGGGGGGGGGGGGCTATTTCCTTCAAAGCTGGAGCGCATCTGCCTGGGAAGCAAAAAACCAACAGTCTGCATACAAAGAAGTTAGATCAGTAAAATGGATGTGCATACAATATTCAAGTTTTGGAACAAGACTAAAGTCCAGAAGTGGATGAACAACCAGAACTTTCTGCCAGAGTTTACAGCTGGTGAACACGAAAAAGAATAAGAAGAATTCATTGCTACACTAATTACACTGAAATTGGCAGACAAATACTAAAAAGACACAAGTCACAACTTCATTTTAATCATATTAAAAGCACAACACCATTCTAGAGGGAAAAGGTGAAGACAAGAGAACAAGAGGCAGAAATCAATATGAGTGGGAAGATAACATGAAGAGATGAAATAGTAGCAGTCTCACAGATTGTACTCTCATGGCAAAATTCAGTGTGTTGGAGATTCACTGCAACCAACCTTCATTGTGGAGACAGCATCCGATTGACTGATTTGTGTGTTTTTATCTTTTCTTTCATCCTCTGCTAACAGTGGGGGAGGGGGGAAGAGGAAAAGAGGGGAGGGCCCTAAAAAAATGTCCCTTTCTTTAATCAGAAGCATAAGCATATTTACAGCTGTATCTGATTTAATGTTTACCATTGGTAAAAATACACTACAATGCCATTTTTAACTCTTTCTGAACATATCACTGATTAGTCAGCAACAGAATTGTCACGTTTAAGCATATTGCTGATGTTTAAGCATATTGCTGATGTTTAAGCATATTGCTGATGTTTAAGCATATTGCTGACGTATCAGTTACCAATACAGACATTCTATTATTGTTTTATTTGCAAGGAAAGTGGATTTGTATGAACTTCTTTTGTATTTCTGTTTTTAAAGTGTGAGCAAGCATGTATTAGTTTTCAAGTTGTTTTTTAGTGTGATACCATTTTTGATGTTTTTTATTCAGTTGTTTTTAAATCTGATATTCCACACAAAAATGATCATAAAATCCAAAATATTTATATTAACTGTCTCAGATAAAGACTCGCTAACACATGACTGAATAAAGAAGGCGAGTGAATTCTTATAAATAGATAGCAATGTTGATGGTCAAGTAAAAAAGTAAGATAAGTGCAAAAATTGTCATATGTGGTGTCATTTCAATATTTTATTGTTATAATACTGATCCTAAAATAGTTTAGAAGTATTCTGTATTAACTGCTCTTTAATATGATATACGAATCTGTCTCTTTAATTTGATATCTGTCACTATACTGTAAATACTTTTCCTCAGGAAGGTTTGAGATTTGTCATGTTGCAGTAAAAAAAAATTCAGCTCAAAATTAATTATATCCAAACCTCAGGAAAAAAAAACCACGTACCAAAAAAGTTTTTTTTTTAAAAAGTGGTATTTTATTTCTCAAAGCAATATATTACATAAAACAAATGGAACAAAATGTGTGCAAGTGAAGAAAAATAAAAAGTAATGTTAAAAAAATCACTTTGAAAAACTCACATGATGAGGCCAGCCCTTCCAAGCATAAATTGTTTCATACAACCATGGTTTCTGTTGACAGATGCATGACATATGAAACAGTGAATGAATCAGTCAATCAATCAAGAAAGAACTGACTTAATTGCACTTGTGACATTCCCACAAGTGCTCCATCATCCTGTTCAGTAGCTAATGAAGGGTTACCCTACTGACGGTACCACCAGATGTAACCTGATTAAATGCCAAACTGTCTTTTCCTCTGCATACCAACACTCATCCAGACACTCTGCTTTATCCCCACCGAATAACCCTTTCGAGGTAAGGGTACACTGTACATTCTGTTGCACAATCCACTTGATCCCAGACAGCCTTTCGCACATTCACTTAACCATAAATAGCTCACAGCCCACCCAGAGCAGCAGCAGCAGTCAATCTATCAGCACACTCATTATACAGCACACCAGAATGTGGAGGGCAGAAAATCCATGATATGTTTTCACACATAAGCCTAGTGCCCGATGTGCCTCTATCTTTACCTACTGCCATTATTTACCACTTTTTTGAGTGGTCTGAGACAGGAGAATTCTTGGGCCTGAGGATTTAGGACTGCATGCCCTTGACAAAAGAAAATGCATTTCCTGGCAAAGGATTTAAACCTAGTTCTACAGGATAAGCCCAGATTCAGCCAGCCACTCTTCAGAGGAAATATAACTTCCTAGGTTTATGGAGAAAATGATCTTGCTCCCATGTTGACCAGTACCGACTGTTCTATAAAAAAAATAGATCTAGAACTCTATGACAAATACACAAGAAGGTGTGAAAAAAAAGCTTCATTTTTTTGCTTACATATATAAATCTGCATTATGAACAATATACTCACGTCTATGTGTATGTAAACTCCATACCAAAAAATGATGAAATAGAAAAGGCCTTTCCAGCTGTGAAGAGCAAAACAATAAAGAGATGCTGTACTTCTATTCCGCCAAAGAATATACAATAAAACCTCATTAATACAAACTTGCTTAAGATGAAAACTTGGTTAATATGAAGAAATGTTGGCCTTCACACAGATGAAGTGCTTAAAATATATCTATTAGCCCAAATATATTTAACAAGAATTCTTTATTATTTTTTTTTTTAGAGGGGGAGGGATGGGTGCTTTGATATGCATGTCTTCTTCTTCTTTCGTTCACCTTAAATAAGTTGTCTATATCAGCAGTTTTGTCTCTTGTATAAATTTCACTGTCGTTGTTAGTTCATTCAGTGGTCCATAGAGTTTACGTTCCACTGTTGTTCTTTCTGGCCAAAAGGTTTGCCTTAATGTGTCAAATTCGGTGCAGTCCTGGAGTACATGCTCTGCTGTCTGGGGCACCTTTCCACAGGTGCACATGGCTGATACACCTATCTTAAATTTTGTGTACATGTGGTGACATTCATGTTAAAAGGGTTTTCCTGTACAATAATAAATAATGGGGAAAACGCTGCTACAAATCCCACAATAAACAAAGCAAAGTGGATAACTGTTGACCTTAGGCATTTTAGTTCTTCGTCTTCGCGTTCACCAGCTGTAAACTTGGGCGGAAAGTTCTAGTTGTTTGTCCACTTCTGGACAGCAGTTCTGTTCCAGAACCTGAGTGTTGCGTGTGTATCCATTTTACAGATCTGACTCATTTGTATGCAGAATGTTGGTTCCTTGCCTCTCAGGCAGATGGACTTCGACTTCAAAGGAGGCATTTAAGTTATATCTTCCTCTTCTGCCTCCACAGGAGCACAGGCTCTCAATAAACTCACATCAAGCTCTTCTATCCTTAACTGTCTTCTGTGGTTCCTTTTATCTTCTTCCAGTGTTATTAATTTCAGTCTATAATCTTTATCTCTGTGTGTTCTTATTTTTCCTTGAATTGAATTTGCCCCGTGGGTTCCAGGGAAAAGAGTTTATAGTTAAATTACTAGGAGGTTTTCTCAATGTGTGCCCATCCCAGCACTCCTATCATTTCCTGATCTACTGATTCATCCAGAACTGTTGCGTTCACTTCATGAGTCCTGCATGCTGATTCAGATACCTGCTCAGTGCAAGCACTAATTAATGAAGGTATGTTTATTAGGAACTGTTTTATTTATTGAATAATGTTTGTAGCTTATTTTTAATTCTTTTATTCACTCTTAATCTTTCTAATTTATAAACTAGAGCTCCCAGAGAAGAAAACATTCAAAATCACTGTAAACATTCTCACAGAGAAGATAATGTTCACACATTCTGTAAACTATGCCTTACAGAGAAGACAATGTTCAGACTGTACACTATACCTCACAGTGAGGATAAAATTTACACTCTGTAAACTATACCTCAAAGAAAAGATTAAATTCACACACACTGTAAACTATTAAACTATATCTCATAGAGAAGATAATGTTCAGACTGTACACTACACCTCACAGTGAGGATAAAGTTTACACTCTGTAAACTATACCTAAAAGAAAAGATTAAATTCACACACACTGTAAACTATTAAACTATATCTCATAGAAAAGATAATGTTCAGACTGTACACTATTCCTCACAGTGAGGATAAAGTTTACACTCTGTAAACTATAACTCACAGAAAAGATCACGTTAACACTGTACACTGTATCTCACAGAAAAGATAATGTTAACACATTCTGTAAATTATACCTCACAGAGAAGATAATGTTGACACATTCTGTAAATTACACCTCATAGAGAAGAAAATGTTCACAAATTCTGTAAATTATACCTCACTGAGAAGAAAATGTTCACACATTTTGTAAATTATACCTCATGGAGAATAAAATGTTTACACACACTGTAAACTATACCTCACACAGAAGATAATGTTCACACATTCTGTAAATTATACCTCATAAAGAAGAAAATGTTCACATTCTGTAAATTATACCTCATAGAGAAGAAAATGTTCACATTCTGTAAATTCACGTCCGGCTGCATTTGTCAGTCCTGACAACTGAATCACAGTACATTTTGGAGGAGTCCCCCTCGAAAATAGGTTACTGGGAGCTTTCCATGTTGCATTGTGTGACATATTAATATGCTTACAAAGTCCTGTGTTCTAAACGTATTCGTATTACAAATCTACAAATGGATATTGTGAAGTGGATATACAGCAATTTTAATTTTAATTTTAATTCACAGAAGACAGTCGTGTTGTGATGTGTGTGTGAGTGCCACTGTTTCTAGTCAGTAGTTCGGATTTTTGGGAACTGGCTGTTTATTACTTTTCTACTTTAAATGTAGAAATCTTACTTTTAGGGATAATACAAACAGGTAATTTAGAAGCCATATCTGGAGAATATCGACAGTTGTCAGGTGCAAACTATCTTGTGTGTGAAGAAAACTATTGCTTTCATATTGACTGTGCATAAATGGTGCAACCACACTGTGGATAAATTGTGTCAAGATATTTCGGAGCTCTAGGTAAGTGGATGAAAATAATATTTAATTTACTAACTAACCTCTCACAGCAAGTCACTCTTTGCCTCTTTACTAATTGTTGACTAACAGTATTATTATATGTTGTAGCAGTACACTAATAATATTATTCCTTAACCATTTGACTTATGCTTCGCGAACACTGGCTGTAAACTCTTGCAGAAACTTCTGGTAGTTCATCCACTTCTTTTGCATATTTGCAGTTCTACGGTCTGTTAATTTTTGTAAACTGGCTTTTGCTTTGCTTCACGAACACTGGCTGTAAACTCTTGCGGAAACTTCTTGTAGTTCATCCACTTCTTTTGCATATTTGCAGTTCTACGGTCTATGTGTTAATTTCTGTAAACTGGCTTTTGCTTTGCTTCGTGAACACTGGCTGTAAACTCTTGCGGAAACTTCTGGTAGTTCATCTACTTCTTTTGCATATTTGCAGTAGTACGGCCTGTGCTAATTTTTGTAAACTGACTTTTGCTTTGCTTCGCGAACACTGGCTGTAAACTCTTGCGGAAACTTCTGGTAGTTCATCCACTTCTTTTGCATTTTTGCAGTTGTACGGCCTGTGTTCATTTTTGTAAACTGGCTTTTACTTTGCTTCGCAAACACTGGCTGTAGACTCTTGCAGAAACTTCTGGTAGTTCATCCACTTCTTTTGCATATTTGCAGTTCTACGGTCTATGTGTTAATTTCTGTAAACTGGCTTTTGCTTTGCTTCGCGAACACTGGCTGTAAACTCTTGCGGAAACTTCTGGTTGCTTATCGACTTCTTTTGCATATTTGCAGTAGTACGGCCTGTGCTAATTTTTGTAAACTGGCTTTTGCTTTGCTTCCCGAACACTGGCTGTAAACTCTTGCGGAAACTTCTGGTTGCTCATCGACTTCTTTTGCATATTTGCAGTTGTACGGCCTGTGTTAATTTTTGTAAACTGGCTTTTGCTTTGCTTCACCAACACTGGCTGTAAACTCTTGCGGAAACTTCTGGTTGCTCATTGACTTCTTTTGCATATTTGCAGTTGTATGGTCTGTGTTAATTTTTGTAAACTGGCTTTTGCTTTGCTTCGCGAACACTGGCTGTAAACTCTTGCGGAAACTTCTGGTTGCTCATCGACTTCTTTTGCATATTTGCAGTTGTGCGGCCTGTGTTAATTTTTGTAAACTGGCTTTTGTTTTGCTTCCCGAACACTGGCTGTAAACTCTTGTGGAAACTTCTGGTTGCTCATCGACATCTTTTGCATATTTGCAGTTGTATGGTCTGTGTTAATTTTTGTAAACTGGCTTTTGCTTTGCTTCACCAACACTGGCTGTAAACTCTTGCAAAAATTTCTGGTTGCTCATCGACTTCTTTTGCATATTTGCAGTTGTATGGCCTGTGTTAATTTTTGTAAACTGGCTTTTGCTTTGCTTCGCGAACACTGGCTGTAAACTCTTGCGAAAACTTCTGGTTGCTCATCCACTTCTTTTGCATATTTGCAGTTGTACGGTCTGTGTTAATTTTTGTAAACTGGCTTTTGCTTTGCTTCGCGAACACTGGCTGTAAACTCTTGCGGAAACTTCTGGTTGTTCATCCACTTCCTATGCATATTTGTTACAAAAAAATTTGGAATGGTAAGGAATTGATTTCATCCAACAAGATGAAACTGGACAAATTTGTTTGTGCTGTTTGTACCTTGAGGATACATCTTTAGTAGTGCTATAAGTACTGTTGAGAAAACTATTCTGGGTGAAAAAAGTATGGCACATATCAATTTCATACTGATTGTGCTCGTTTACTAATTATTAAATAACAGTATAATTTTATGTTGTAGTAGTCTCCTAATAATAATAATAACCATCAATTATTTATATTTATGTTATGTATGATATGTGTATGTTTCATAGCAGTATTTTTATTCGCTAAATTTGATAAACTACAAATGTCAACCCCCCCCCTTCCCCTCCTCTGATGCAACAATACCCTCTCAGAATCAAAGAGTTAGCACTGATATTTCTTTACTTTTGCTGGAACAACTTTTAGTTTACATCTAAACGTTAATGATGTTTATGTTCATGTTGACTGAAGCAAAAGCATTTTTGTTTGTCTGTAAGAGCCTTTATTGTTATAATTATTCAGCACACTTATTTACCTTAAAAATGACGCATAGTTTTAAAAAATATGTCGAAAATTAATGAAACTGTAGTTTAATTTGCATATACATCTCCTTGATAAAAAGTGTGGACGCAGAGGGACTCAATTCTTGCACAAGAACGGGATATCCCGTTCAAGCTGTACGACCTTATAAATCTGGAGCTGGCCGTGTGTAAATTATACCTCATAGAGAAGAAAATGTTCACACACACTGTAAACTATACCTCAAAAAGAAGATAATGTTCACACACTATAAACAATACCTCACAGAGAAGATAATGTTCACATATTCTGTCAACTATACCTCACAGACAAGACAATGTTCAAACTGCACACTATACCTCACAGTGAGGATAAAATTCACACACTGTAAACTATACCTCACAAAGATTAAATTCACACACGCTGTAAACTATTTAACTATTTCTCACAGAGAAGATAATTTTCACACACTCTGTAAACTATAAGTCACAGGTAAGGATATAATGTTCACACACTCATTAAATTATACCTCACAAAGATGATATGTAAGTGTCTTGCTAGCTGTAAATCTCAAGACTACTGACAATATAATACCTTGGACAGCCAAAACAAGTAATCTAAATGTTGACAGCGAGAGAGAGAGAGCGAGAGAGAGAGAGAGAGAGAGAGAGAGAGAGAGAGAGAGAGAGAGAGAGAGAGAGAGAGAGAGAGAGAGAGATTGACAGACATGTATGTGTGTGTGTCTGTCAGTCAGTAGCATGTCCTTTGCAGAACGTTGCTCCCATAACCTTCTGGAAAACTCGATCACAAGCAAAATGTCTTGAGTCAGATACACCAATCTGGACTCAGGACATCTTGCGTGTGCATATTTTAATGGTTATATTTTAAAAATCTCAATACCATTTGTGCTGTTACCATGATCTCGTAGATATGAAGATATGCTTTTTTTGTGTGTGTGTGAGGAGCCTTTGTGGAATAGCAACCTAAGCTCTGTATTTAAATGTCATAATTTCTACCTAATGCTCTGTATTCAAATGCCACATTTGGAACTGATAGTTCCTAGAGATGCAGAGTTCAGAAACTATGAAGTGGAAAAAAAATTTAATAGACCATCTGTCCATATACTGCCAGACTGAATGCTCCTAGGCATCTTTGTGGCAGATGTCATATGAAACTATAGCGGATATTTAGGTCTGCTGCAATAAAAGTCTCAAATGCTTCCTTTTTTAGTTTCTTAGTCACCCCTCACCTCAGGGTGTCGAGATTTGCCAGAGATCACCAGACGTCTCTATCAGGAGTTTTCTTTTTGGTTTTGCTCCATTCCATTCCTCTGTCAGTTAGGGACTGTCGGATGTTGTCTTCCTAGCACATGCTGGATCGTCCCGGAGGTCTGGTTCCCTGGTTCCCCGCCTCCCAAGGTCACCAATTTTCTTCCATTCTGCATACATGACCAAACCATCGTGACTGTAACTGATCCACTTAAGTTTGTACGGCCTAGGTTTTAAGATCTTGATGTACTTTCTGACTGCGAAATTTGTCCCTTCTTGTCATTTAGACCACCTTTCCAACATATCTCATTTCTGAGGCCTGAAGCTGGCTTCTGTCAGCTATTGTCATTGCCAATGACTCACACCCGTAGGTCAGGACAGGCACATAGGCAGAGCAGTAAACAGCCATTTTAATTTTCTTGTCAATATCTCTTTTGCCAAGAAACCCTCGATTTATGGCTCAGAAAAAGCTGCTTTTCAAGTAGCCAGCTTTGTCTTAATGTCTATTACAACTCCAAGGTATTTGATCTGTTTGACCTGCTCCAATGCATGCTGTTCCACCATAATCCTGTGTTTAAGTCTAACATGCATCTGAAGCAAAGTACTCATTTTGTGTATATGATCGAAATCCCATGTCCGCAGTCTGCTTCCTGTTGGTTTCTAAAGACACAGCTGGTGACGAATGAGAGGCTCAATATACAGAAGTTTCCTATGTGGGTACTGGGGCCCGATTGTAAGGAAAACAAGAATAGACCCACTGCCTCCCAAAAGCATGTTGTAAGTGGTGACTAATTGGGAGCTTCCTTCAAAATCGGAATGCACCTGCCTGAGAGGCAAGGAACCAACAGTCTGCTCACAAATGCGTCAAATCTGTAAAAACGGATGCGCATGCAACACTCAGGTTCTGGTGGATGAACAACGGGTGAATATGAAGAAGAAGAATATACAGAAGTGAGGTTAAACAGTCATAAGCATGTCATCACAATCCCTTATATTTAGCTTGAACAAGTTGTGTTTTAGTCCTTGGGTAGAGATTAAAGTTCACTATTTGTTCTTTGCTGTCATCTTGGTAGTAAACACCATCCTTCTTGTGGCCTGGATGTTCAGAATTTCACTTGGGATATAAGTAGTTCTTATAAACCTCTTGGCCTTATGTTATCTGTATCATACTGAGGTAGTCTTCCACCTTCTTTGCCAATCTGTCAGCCTCTTCATTTCTAGGTATGTTACAATTTGACAAAAATATCTTGATTGCTAATCTGTCAGCCTCTTCATTTCTAGGTAAGTTGCAATTTGATAGAATCCCTTCATTGCCAGTCTGTCAGCCTCTTTATTTCCAGGTAAGTTACAACAGGATGGAATCCCCTGAATTACAGCTCTTTCTGACTCCCGGCTCAGTCCATGAAGTCAAGTCTTTAGGCCTGCTAGTTCTGTACAGTTTTTGCACTTCAGCAATCCCATCATAAATACATTTGTACAATTCATTTTTTTTTAAAACAGCATCGTCTTGCCATTTGCTGAGAATGCACTGGTACCAACTGTAAAAGAGAGCTTCAGTGAAGAACATTATGAACACAGATCAAGAGGCAGACCACACACAGATGGAAGGATGGCATCAAGAAAAGCATTAAAGGGATTAAGATCAACTTATAAAGGTCATAAGAAATAACACACAAAAGATTCTGACTTCCCCTACCCCCAACATTTTGATAAATAAATAAATGGAAGAAGAGAAAAGAAGAAGAAAACCTGAATAATTTGCCCTTACCAAGACTCCACAAATTTCTTAAATACAGGTGTACGGCCCTGATTTCGCCTGATTCTAAACCATCGTTCAATCTGTCTTGCTGTCATATCTGTTTGCTTTTCAAGATCCTAAAAAATATTAAAAACAGAAACAGAAAAAATTCAATTCAAATCTGGTATTTTTTTTTCTAATAGTTTTTAGCCATTTATACAATTCTCAATAAAAACAGGTTACCTTAAGTTGTGGGACACCCCAATAAAACTGTTTTATAAGGCTGAACGTGTGTCAGAGATCAGTTCCTGTTGGACTGGCATCCGAACAGGGGCTCTTTTTAGTTCACTTTATGAGTTTCACGGTGCTGATTTCGGGGTCTATTCTGTACAGACACCTGCAAGTTCACAGAGGCAACATATCTAATTTCCTGACCAGAGCATACAAAACCGAACACCAAGAAGAAGAAGAAGCTTTCAATCCAAGCTGTTCGTGACACTGAGTTAGAGAATGGACTCAAATCACAAACATCTCCTCCATAATGCAGAAGCAAGGTGGTTACCGAGAAGACGGATTTCTGCACGCCTATTTTGAACTGAGGGAGGAAGTAAAGCAGATCCTGCGAGAGAAAAAAATCTGACATGGTAGTGGCTTTGTTGAATGAGGAATGAATGGCTAACCTGGCATTCATATTAAGTCTCCTTAATAAAGTTAACATTTCTCTTCATAGAACCCGTACAAATGTTTTTACACTAAGAAATAAAATGAATGAATCAAACACTCAAAAATAAGTTGGATCTTTGGGATAATTGCAAAATATAGAAATGTTACCACTTGTAGGATACTTCTGTGATTTCAACTAGAGAGCTTTATTCAACACAATAGGTCAGAATTTAAAGGCATTAGTTAAAATCTTTGATAATTTTTTTTTCCCCAGGAGAACTAGGATCCACACAAAGGCAACCTTTGGATTAATAATTCCTTCTTGGCAAAAATAAGACCAAGTGTACTTGATTATCGTCGAAAAGAAAAGCCGGTTAAGAGGCCTTCTGTTGTTATTCTTGTGTCTGGATATAAAACGCGTTATTTCAAATCTGTAAATTGCTAAAAACAGTATAACCATCTAATAAATGTTAATCTACATCACACACAAAAAGACTAGACAAAATAAACCTACCTGAATGGTTTCTCTTGAAGGTAATCTTTTCTGTTTAAATGCATTTTCAAGAACAGGATTTGGTATTGCTTTTTTTACAGTATCTTTCAAACAAAGTAAATGTCCTACTGGTCCAAATATATACCTGACAATGGAGGAAGAAGAAAGTGTGTCAAAAGTGAATGATTGTTTTAAATTACAGTATGAATAAGAAAGTCGAATTGTGTCTCTAGAAATGTGGATATGCAGAAGAATAGGTTGTATTTCATGCAAAGAAAATGAAATAAACAGGTTCAGAAAAGATTGCAAATTAAGAGAATTACTGAAAGAAAACAAAGGAGACAACTGAAATATTTTGGCCACATTAAAAGACAAAACACTTTTTAAACACAATACTGGAGGGAAAAGATCGAGGGCAGGAGAGGAAGAGGCTGACAATAATACAAGTGGGAGGACAACAGCAAGAGGCAAACAAATAGTATCTAAGAGAGTGTACAACTAATACTAAGACAACAAAGTATCTTGGAAATCCACTGCAGCCAACCTTCACTGTAGTGACAGCAACTGACTATTGCCTAACAGATGAATAAGAAAATGAGTCTGTTGGCTAACTGTACAAACAAAAAACAAATTAATGGTCTAATTACCCTGATCAGCTGTAATGCGCTGTGTAATGCTCGCGCATGTGGCCTCAGGGCAACATCAAACCAGCAGCCGCCAGGATGGTGCTGGTACATCTGACAGAAGTAGTTCCTGTAAAGTGTTGATAATTTTTCCGGCGACTATAGTGCCAGCGAGTGTATCCCCCACGCTGCTACGCGCGGCACGGAGGGGGCTAAACTAGATGGCTAGGACTCACGAGCAGCAGCTACCGCAGCTCCTGCAGCTCGCTCCAATGTATTTGCTCGTGAGTCCTAGCCATCTAGTTTAGCCCCCTCCGTGCCGCTACTCGCGGGGCGGGGGATACACTCGGAGGTGGCACTATAATTGCCGGAAAATAAATAAACAATTTACAGGAGCTACTTCGTCTGTCGGACGTACCAGCGCCATCCTGGCGGAAAAGAAAAATTAATAAACAATTTACAGGAGCTACTTCGTTTGTCGGACGTACCAGCGCCATCCTGGCGGCTGCTAGTTTGATGTTGTCCTGAGGCCACATACGCTTACAGTAAACCGCGCATTACAGCTAATCATGTCTCGCCCGGAACGAGCATGTTGAATTGACTTTGTTTCGTGCCTTGTCCACTCCATAATTGCACTGCAGCCAGGGGACTGAACTCCGACGACGCGGCTGTCGCCGTCCAAGTAGCGACCGTTATATTGCAAGGAGAGCCGACTATTACTATTATTATTTGCATTCTTCTTCCCAAAAACCACATCTCTGCCGCGATAAAAGTTTTTTTCAATAAAAGTTTGACTTACCTTTCAAAAAAATAACGCACAAAGTAGACTACAACCGATAAATAAACTGGAACTAGTAGATCACTGAACTGTGGATGGTAAATGCCATCGCCTATATTTTTCAAATCGTCCCAAGTCACGTTTCGGGGCAACCAAAACGATTTCGCCCAAACAAAATCATTTACTGTTCGCCACAGCTCCGCCATAGTTGTTTGGTCAAACAGCTGGTTTTTTACATGTGCGAATACGATATTGTCCACGATATATAGGTCCACAGTATTACTAATTATGCTTTCAAAACATACTTAGGTACAATTGTAGATTGTCAATATTTCCTTAAAATTCACATACGTTTTCTTTAAGAATACCAAATTGCACAGGGTAAGGGTGACGAATTTGTAAACTCATGTTTATAGGACACATCCTCGAAAAAGGAATGCGTGCTTATTCATTTTATTTAAATTAATCGCAGACTAATTAACACATATAATGTCGGGAACATGCGTGTGAGATTGCTTATTATGGCTGGATACACAATTACATGTTTCTAATGTGAGTCGTGGGTTTTCATACTAATTTGAATCAGTGAAACACATTTTTATGATTGAACATATATCACTTGTATAACTGCATAAAAGTGCGCATTTTTTTTTTTTTTTTTTTCTTCTTGAAGTATTGAAATCTCCGTTTGGCACAACTGTAACAGCTACAAAAAATTGTCTAGATAACTGGCTCCAACGGAAAGCAAAAATCACATTTCCACCTGATAACTACAACTGGGGCAAGCGATGTCACCCAAGCGTATCCACTGAATTCCACTGGTATCGGATTACCGCCTGGTCTGTCAACCATGAACTATTCTATTCCATCTCAACTACCCCCTCCGAACAACCCTTTTTTAGCTGGACCATATAAGAACAGTAGACAATTCTTTCTCTGAAAAGATCTCACACGTGACGGATTAACCCTTGTTGGTAAGTTCCACATCCCAATGGACAGAATATTCCGGAACCTTAGAAGCTGGGCCCCATCCAGGAAATTAGATAATAAATTAACCTACACCTATCCACGTTGGAATGAGGGTTACTTTGTTACAGACGCCCCCCCCCCCCCCCCCCTTTTCCATTTTTAACCCCCAGCTTTCGCCCGGCACCGGTGTTATACAGTTCTTCGTGATTTATGGGATTTGTAATTTTAGATTCTAATCCTCGAGAGGTTAATCCTATAGTATGCAATCCTGGAAGGGGAAATGGGAGGGAGGGGACTCATATAAAACCCAATAGAGGCTGGTAATGTGGTATGCTAGGCCAGTGTTCTTATATTTAGTGGCTCGAGAACCAAAGATGCCGGTCGGCGGATATGTGTACGTGGTCCGTTAGAATGTTTGTTATGTTATCACAGTCGATATCACTGCACATTAGGTATTCCCATGCATGCTCATTCCTCCGATGCAGCAGCCACTCCAAGGTACTTCTACTGATTGTTCCCATGAGAAGTTGGTTATAATGTCTCCTATCTTAACCTCAAAAGCAGCGTAGGCGTGCTTCACCGTGGTTTACTCCCATGTCATACAATCGTGTTAGTGTCAGAGATTCGGTATTATCCACTAGCCCAGTCCGTACAGCGTTGACGATATCTGCTCTGTCCATGCTTCTTCCCACATCCGTCAGAAATGTCAAGGCAGTCGTGTAGCAGCTACATCATTCAGGAGCTACATTGCTGCTGTGAGAATTAGATCCTGTACGCGACAGTGTAGCGCCAGAAGCTTAGGCCATATCAGTCATTTAAAAACAAACTATAAAAATCGAATGAATGTTTATGAGTGCTTCGCCTATCAGAAACACCACTGTGACAAGAAAAGAGACAGATATCTGACATGAACAACAAGACAGGCCACGCCGCGATCAAGATCAAAACAAATTAATTTTATAGTGTACTTTTAAAATGCTGACAAGAGTGGCACTGCTGCTTTTTCCTGTGCCAAGGAACTCATCCAAGAAGGCCTACAACAAGCAAAATGCTTAGTGGAATCAGCTTCTAGCCCTCGACGTTTTGCCCGTGATCGTTACCAGTGTTGCCCTTTAGCAAGCTGGAAACATTTGTTTGCATACAACATCCTCTGACGAACAAGTAAAAGAAAAAGAATTTAAAAAGGCACTCACAATGCTGGACAAATGTGGGGTATCAAAGAAGTTGCAGCCATTTCTTGAAACGATAATTTAATATTTCCAGATTTTAAAAAGCCATTAAATGAGAATGAAGCTATTGCCTAATGAAGGTTAGCTCTCGATACCACTGTGGAAACCAACGCAAGACAAATAGTCCACAACCCGGCACCACGGCCTTACGAAGCTCTTTCGCAATGACAAAGCTACAGACACCGACTCAAGTACTATTACAGAATAAGATTATTGACTAGATTATTTGATTGGACTAAACGGTTTAGACTGTTCCAATACAGATGATGTATATGATATGGTTGGTGTTTGGTGTCTGGGATTTGTTCCAGTTGGATTCCCATACAAAACATTATGCTTTAAGTCAATGAGTGTCAACGTTTCAGGTTGCGATCCCGGACATGGAAAAACACTTTAAACCCTCAGGTAAAGAAGTGCACCGAGCGATGTCTTCATAAGCTAACTTCTTTTTCTTCCTCAGCATTCCAAGCCCTTGAGGTTCATTGCTGCAGATATCACCCGACTCCATTCATCTCTATGGTTGGCCTTCTCTTTCCCCAGTTGGTCTGGATATTATCTCTCCATCGTCTTCTTGGTCTGCCTCGTGGTCTACGACAATTCATCTACCTTGTGTATACAGTTTTCACTTCTCTGTCATTTGAGTTTTGCCCCATTTATTATTATTTACGCTTTGGTTGCTAGTTTTGGTCTTGTGAGTTGTTATATGTGACACTTCCCAATATCTACTACTGTAAGGGGATATATAGTTTTCGCCAATTTAGATTATTTCCAGCCTTGAGTGGGTACTAGTTAGATTGAAGAGTAAAGGCGACCGGCAAGATGCTGACCACTTAACCCATCGAGGGTCTATAAAAAAACATGAGTCTAGACCAGGGCTATTCAATTGGCGGCCTGCGGGCCAAATCTTTTCTCCAGAAAAGAAAGAACCACCAAAAGCAAAATTGATGAACACCACTTAAAAGCAAGCGAAGGATTCTACATATCTGGTGAGTATTTTTTTTTTTTTTTTTTTTCAAAAGACGGAAGAATTTATTACAGAAATCCAGCAAAGATGCAAAAAAGCTAATTAAGTTTTAGGCCAAATGGCATCAATTCTGAAATGCAAGCATGTGAATATGAACACTAAAAGAACTGTTCAACACAATATTCTTACCAACGCTATGCTACCAATATCAAACATGGACTCTGTCTTCAGACGACAGAAATGACATGTTTAAGTACTATGCCAGGAGTGACAAGAAAAGATCGACACCAAAACGATGATGTCAGAAGGAGAGTCGACCAAGAACCAATACTGAACTTTATAGGTAGACAACAAATCAAATGGTTTGGCCATGTAACAAAATTAGCATCAGACAGGGCACCACAGAGAATAATGCTATACATATACAGTAGTAACAGACCTAGAGGTCGACCGCTCATATTGTGAACCGCAGAAATATTAGAAATACTGAAAAGTACTTTATACGAAGCGAAAAGAAAGGCACTTTCCGGAGATATCTTCATGCCCTGATGCCGTGAGGTATTCCAGGAGTAAAGAAAAGAAGAAGCAGTAGCAGGAAAATACTTTTTTTTTTAAAGACCGCAGTTTGAGGACACAGGAGCATCATTTGTGGCAAAATAAACATTATAAGTTTTTTTCTTTAAGGGAGAAGAGAATGAATGAACGAACGCAAGAGAGAGAGAGAGAGAGAGAGAGAGAGAGAGGGGGGGGAGGGGGGGGTTATCTTCAACTAAATTGATGAAGAGCACCAAGAAGCAAGGTCTTTGGAGAGTAGTGGACGCCTGTACCGTCTGTCACACAACGTGGTAATGATGCACTTTTGTCAAACTGCCCGACACAATTCATTTGCCAGTTACTCACAGTTCTGCATCTTTACAGAACGACACAGCTCTTGTTAACTGTTAAGCAAAACCGTTTGTTATATACGTTACAACTAGAGCAAGCGTTTTCAGCCAAGCGTGTCCACCAGTGGTGTCAGTTTATGCCACTAGATATGTCATCCTACTAGATATGTTCACCACTTCCTACATCCCACATCTCTGCTTGTTTTCCCATTTTTTTCGCCCCCGCCCCAATCTCCTCCATAGACGTATCTGAGTCTCGGCTAGATGATGGCACTGTAATAGTTTGCCATTTTTTTTTCACAAAGGGTCGTTTTGGGGCTAAAGGTGTACGAGTATGACGTGCTAGACCTAGATCAACTTTTATAGACCAACTCCGTTTGTGGGTTCTGGGGCCCCTTTAGGGAGCTCGGGGCTGGCAGATCCACTATCCCTTAAAAAGTATGTCGTAAAAGGCGACTTATTAGGGGTTTTCCTTTCGAGGTCGGAATGCATCTGCACGAGAAGTAAGGGATCAACAGTCTGCACACAAATAAGCCAGATCCGTAAAAGGAATATGCCTGCAAAACTCAGCTTCTGGGACAAGACCAAAGTTCAGAAGTGGAAGAATACCAGAATTTCCCGCCGAATTTTGCAGGTGGTCGATCGATAAAGTGCCAATATCACGCAGGCCGCCTTTACTTCCAAGACATTTTCTGGTGCCCATTTTTAGAATGGGTTAACCTGGGATTAAACTCAGTCAATAAACTTATAATAGATACGGATTCGAGCCCGAGAAATTCAGGCCGCTGGATGAGCATTTAGTCGATGCGCAACGATGGCTTCCTTAACCCCACATAATGATATAATAAGATTTGTAACAAGTTAGAAATTATGGTCAGCCCAGTAATATAAAATAAGTATCAGGCGCTATTTTAGGAAGCAAATACAAAACGCCTAGGATTTTTTGTTTGTTTTGTGACGTTACAGATCTCCCCCCCCCCCCCTCTCTCTCTCTCTCTCTCTCTCTCTCTCTCTCTCTCTTCTCTCTCTCTCTCTCTCTCTCTCTCTCTCGCTGTCAACATTTAGATTACTTGTTTTGGCTGTCCATTTAATCCACCAATAGGTTTGATTCCTCAGTCCCCCGCGTGGGTTCCGGGGCACCATTGTGGGGAAAACAAGAA